ATCGTGCTTTTCTTGTAAACGAATTGCTTCTATTCTGCCGCTCGACATATCAGTATGAGAAACTGAGAAAACAACAGATTGCTGATGGATGAAGTTTTTAATGGGAGAACGTATGAATTTGCAGGCTGAGTTGAAGAAAATCGTTAAGCAATTTCCATTAACTGCCTATATACTCATAAGATTATTCTATGAAAAAGTTTTGTGACGATGGTCGGAAGGCGATTGCTCCGATCGAGTTAGTTTTATTTCGCGTCTTTCTTCATTTGTACTTTCAACTCAGAAAAATCCATCATTGAGCTTTTATGAGATGATGTTTCATGGAAACATATTTGACTTGTGTTCTCAAGCACTCAACACAAATGCTCAATATTTTTTTTTCTGAATGATTTTCGTATTCAGAAACGAAATAGGTTTTTGTACCATTAAACCGAAGCAAACTTCTTTTATGCGATGATAACGACAAATATTTACATGTTTGTGATTATATTTGTTTCAATACATAAATACGTATTGGCATCAAAATATCAGGAAGCACTTTAGCAAAAACAAAGAAACCTTTTTTTATGACTGTTTGCTCTTGACATAATTTAGTGTCCAGAAAAAATATATAATTCTATACTTGATTAACATTTTAGAGTTAGATATGAATAATACTTTTAATCAAAGCATACTAAATTACTAAGATCAGTTTTGTTTGTTTCCCATTTTTCTGTGATTTCTCCATTATCAATATTGAATATGATAAAAATGCTTGTTTTTGAATCCTTTGCACTCCATAATGTCATCCAGAAACGTTCATTTGAATTTATTGTATATGTTGTTGTCCATAAATATTTTTCAAATGGGATTATTGTTTTACCAATACGATCAAATTTTAACTCCTTTTTTTCTGTTATTATAATTTGCGTTAGAACCCAACCATCTGTAATAGAAGACGAATAAACTAGAGCTATTAAACGATCATTGATAGAATCATAATCCATTCCGTATATTGTATAATCATTTGGTATAGGAATACTGATGTCTAATTTGCCTGTATCAATATTGACAGCATAAAATGTTGACTCAATAACATTATAATATAATCGACGTTTCGATGCATAAACCATAACAATACTATATGAACCATATGGATATGTTCCTATAGTTTCCATGAGACCGTTTGTCTGATTAACTTTGGCTACTTCTAGACTTGATCCAGCATGAAAACTTTCTCTTATACCAATAATTTCATTGTCATTCGTCACTGCTATTTGCCAAAATGATCCAGAATCATGTTTTTCATGTAATGTTAAGTTCAGTTGAATCGATTTTAAATGAATATCAATGATTAACAGAAAGAAATGGGGTACACCCAAACTATCGAAAGTATGATATGTACTAACATATTTTTGTTTACCAATGTTTGTTGATGTGGCCGTACCAGAGAATACTGAACGACCCAAATTTAATATATAATTGTAAGAAGATGAATTAATTATTTCAAGAAATTTTGTTTCTATTGATGATTGATCTATTGCATAAAGTCGACATTTAAATGTTGAAACAAAAGTCACAATAAAAAATAGTATAATAATTGTATTGATGACGAAAAAAGAACATTTTTTATGCATCTTCAATTCTGCAAAAGAGAGAAAAATTCTTTTTTTGTATGTAACACTTTTATCTTCAATAAATGATTTCTTAATGTGATCAGAAAATGAAAACCGATGTTAATTATATTTGGCTACTTACATTATGATATATATGACTTCATGTTTGTATTTGAATCACAAAAAAAATTTCAAAGTACGCTAAATCCATTAACATGTATCTTTCAATGATATAAATTTTTCATTTGACGAAAATCTACTTCGAGAAAAGCTTTTTACATTTTCATCACACTGGACTCGATTTGTTAACCGTCCTTCAATTTACCGCTCTAGTATGTCTCTGTCCCAAGTTCTATCGCGAAAATAGCATTGTAAAAAAATCATAGAGAAATATGTAAATATCGAACCAAAGATATTTCGTAAACTGATACAATACATTCACATCTATACGAGTTTTTATGCAGGACCAATTGGCAGACATTGAACTCGCGACAACTCCAAAGCACAACGAAATCCGTAGTGATGAAGATCGTGTGCAACTACACCTGTGAAGAAGATCGCTCCCGTTCTTATCTCGACAATAGAAGCGCACACTTTATTGCATATGTGTGACGTGCAACTCTCTATTGGATATGAAGAGATACTAACGATATATACACAGAGGGCCAAAATGGAGACAAGAGATAAGAGATATATGCGCACTTGACGTATGGATAGGTATAGAAGTAGACATGTATACGAATTCAAAGTAAAGAAAGATGTTACCAAGCAGCTATATAGCGATGAAATAACGAGACTACTTTCATCATTAATTCAGTTTTTAATCGTACTAGACAAAGATTTACCTAGAAGTCTCTTTTGTGAAGATAACATGAAGCCGAGAGTAACAGGATATTTCACACTGTTTGTGATGATGACATCATCTTATACTTATTGTAGATCTGGTCATTCATTTCTTACGAATGAACATCGAATTCTTGTTTTCTGAATATTTAACGAATAGATAAGCTAATGGATCTCGGAAGATCATGACTTCCCTCCAGTCACGCAAAAAAAGCAACGAGAAATTGTACGGAAAAAAGAAATGCAATGAAACAGATGAACCAAGAGTTCAATTTTTTATCTTAGGAACAAAGTATCACCAACATCATTCCTTTCAATTTCTATGTTCCGAAGGTATAAAATGGTGAAACGAAAGTAAATCCGCAGGGCAGCTCACTTTCTGTACCGAAGGGTGTGGGTGTTGATATTGATATTAGGGTACCTGATTGTCGATGCGGAAGTGGGGTTTAAGTGACAAACCATATCCACACTCCAATACGAATGATTTTTTTTCGAAATGTAAGACTCAAGTATACATGTTGTACTGCATTTTATCACTCGAACTTCTTCACTGCTGTACCATCTACTGATGTATGAACTGTATTGAAAACTTTTGGGTATAATGAACATCCAAGAACTGTTGCAGTCGCGCTAACATAATTGTTAACAATTATTTCAGAATCCACAGAAATAAATACAGATTTAGAGTCATTGTTAACTTTTTATAAGAGAAGAACACTAGCTTTAACGAATAATATATAAGGACACATCTAGAAAGATCAATTCTTGCAGAAGTCTGTATGTGCACTGCAAAATAGTAAAATTTTGTGGGCCAATGCATAACAACTTTTATATTGGTTCTTGCAAATATCATTTTTTACATGAAAACGTAGAAGACCAGAGAGCTTTGCACACTGTATGAACACACACAGTTAACATTTCTGAGTGTGACTATGATTGAAAAGGAGATCCACACTTCATGTACTCTTTAGATGATTTTCTGTGCGTTTTTTGACATTTATTTTCTTTTAGAAACTCAATGGTGCACATATAAAATACTAATGAGTTATTATTCTTTGCAAGATTATGTTCATAAGGATAAAATGTGTCAGTCAGTAAAAAGGTTTCATGATTTCACTGCTATAGAATATCAGACTTCAACGTTATGCGGATCGGAAACATATTTGATATAATTGATGCTGTTCAACCATGTTTCATCAGGTATTGGATAATTAACAAAGAATATATTTTTCATAGGAGCGAGTATACTAACACGTAGTTCTCTAAGTTGATAAAAAGCCTGAACTGCTCTCGTAACATGATTCATTAAATGTTTTATTGACTGAAAGATACCTCTTTCTTGTATTATACTCTTATTAATTCTGTCGATCGCTGTTATATTGAAATGTACAAACGATACCGACGATCTCGAATGCTCAGACTGATGCACTTATATAGAATGTAGTTAGACGATAGCCATCACCCATTTAGTGGTCAACAGTAATTCCACGAAAGACTGAGTTGACATGAAATTGTTGAGATTGACAAACAAGCAAACTAAATGAGAACAAAAGGTGTTGTTTATGCCGCATTCAAGTGAGTCGTTCAAAGTAGATTCTTATCTTCCTTTTCTGTCAATGATTCTTTTGTTATAGCAGCTTAATTAATAGGAAGAAAACTTCCAATTCAATCCTCTTCGGATTGAATCGTAAAGTGTAATGAGATCACCATATTGAATCTGTCACACGACTGTGGAGAAGATTAAATGAAGGATTTTTATCGCTCAATATTCAATTTTTTGCTTCAATATTGAAACTTCAGAAAGATTTCAAAAGAAATTTTATTACAATAAATTTTCATTACAAATTAACACTACGGATTATCCAAGATTATTATCCTTCACATAAAAGAAAAATGAACTGTTTTTCGAAAACAATAACAACAATTTTCGTGAAAAAATAATTCTTAAAAAGATAGTAAGTCAATTCTTAATTGTCTTGAGAATCTTTCTGGACCATATTATTTTTCTTACATGCCATCAATCATGAAAGTCTTGAATATGGTTCTCACATCTAAAGAGAAGTAACATAATCAATGTTTCGATTATGGCCATAACACATTGAATACATCAGTTCTCGTTCGATCACTCAAGTTAAGCAATGTCGGTCTCGGTTAATACTCAGACGAGTGGCTATCTGGAAGTACTGAATATCGTAAGTCTTTTCTATTTACTTTATTTTTTATGAAATTCATTAAAAATAAAATTCTAACTGAAACTTTTTATTATTCATTTCAAAGAAAAAAAAAACACGTAAATAAGACAAAAAGAAATAGCTTATAACCATGAAAAAATCGGTAAAATAACCGATGATATGAGTTATATAATGTATATAGTTGAGAGAAAATAAATAGAAATAAGAAGAAAAATGACTATTGCAAAATGGATATGTATTTGTATATGCACATGTCACTGGTTCAAATATACATAGATACACTTAACAACAACAACAAAATACTAGCATTTAATTTGCTTTCCGTTTTTGATATAAACGATAAACAAAACAAAAAAAAAATGATAAGTCAGATTCAATGATTACGATCATTACTAAAAGCATATTTATATAACATCAATGAACCAGTAAATAATGTCAATATACCAATAAACAAAGGACGACGATATTGTGTTGTCAAGAGTTTAAACAATGATGTTTCATTATTTGTTGTTAATATAGAAGAAGGTTGTTGTTGTAGTTTTGTTTTTATTTCATTAACTTTTTTCTCAATAGCTTCATTACGTATTAAACGTTCTTGACGAAGACGAAGAGATGTTTCAACATCATGTCTATAATAAGAAAAAAGAAATATTTTTTTCATCGATCTTAAAAGAAAATTCATACGGTGTAATGATCGGTGGCGATGGAATATATTCTTTTAAATCTTCTGATGATAATTGTGTTCCCGATAATGATTGTAAACGATGTGCTGATTTTGGTGAAGGTTGATAGCTACTTAGATTTGAATCAACCCTTTTGATTAATTCACAATTGATATCTTCGAGTGTATCACTTAAACGACCATTTTGCATTACATTATCTTGTCTTCCACATACTTTTTGATAGTTTTTACTGTTAAAATTCTTTTCATCATCATCACTTTCACTTTCACTTGATAAATTAAAATCATATTCGATAAATGGTTTTTCATGTTGTTCGATTTCATTGAGAACTTTCAAACCAGCAACAGTAGCAAGATAAGAAAACCTATTATTTATTTTTTCTCATCAAATATAAAGTATTTATTTTTCTAAGAAAATAATTTACCTCAACTGTTCTACGGTTTGAATAAGTCCATGACGTTGTGTTCGAATATGAGCGAGAACATCAATTAACGATATATCATCAGGTTTTTGTGTATGAGCAAGCTAAATATTAATATTTCATTTTTCTAAAATTATTTTTTATTTATTTTTACCAGTTTTAAAATGGAATCAACAAGTACAAATGTACCCGATCGACCGATACCTGAATATATTCAAAAGAAAGTTTTTGTTTGATTCAAAAAAGAAAGAACGAAAGACTATACCAGCACTACAGTGAAGAACTAGTGGACCATAACGAGGATCAAAGGCACCACAGTGACGAACATCACTAATTAATTGTAAAAATGGTTCTGGATTATTTGGAGCACCATGATCAGGCCAATCAAAATCTGACCAATGAATTATTGAACGAGATTCACTAGTCTTATAAAAAATTCGTATTAAAAAAAATAAAAAACACTCTTGTTTATTTACTGAAAGATTTATTAATTCAAATTTTCTTTGAGTGTAATATCGATATTGTCTGTCGGATACGAATGTTACTTTTAAATCTACATCATTAAATGTAATTTCACTTTCATATTGATAATCTGGATAATATAACCAACATTTATTCTAAAAGAAAAATGTACAGAATAAAAAAAATTTCAAGATCTATGTTTAGATAATCGAAAATATGAATAATATGTGTCTTATGAAATTTATTAAAGGCAATAAAAATTTAACGAATCTTTGACTTATTTCAAAATGTATGAGATCAACCAATCGCAATCTCGGTCCTAGCAGAGTATATTTCAGACTAAATTGTTTGTAGTATAACAGTAAAGTATTATAGGCAATCTTTGCAAATAAGTTTGAAAAACAATGTGGAGAAACGTTTCGCTGGTTCCTCCACTAGAACTGGGTCTGTTTTCGACGTACATAAAAAAAGACTGGTCCCACTCATCTCTACGTCGAATACAGTCAAACCAGATCTGAAATCCTTTTTGATCGAGTTCAAATAAAGAATACTTGTTTGCTTATAATTGATTTGGTATATGCGAAAATTTGTTCATTAACAAGAAAAATTTTCAGTGCCATTGATGGTTTTCGTCTCATTTACTTTGGTGAGGGCTTTGGTCAGGGGTATCCCAAGATCACCAGGATAGAAGGTGGTTCGATGTCTCGAAAAGCCGACTGGAAGATTTTGCTGCATTTGATTGGATTTTGGGGCGATTGAACGTTGTTTTGGGGAAATTGGTAAGAAAAAAAAGAAAATTTTCCCAAGATAGGACCACCGCCCTCCTCCTCCACGGCTCGAGACGCCTTTTTTGGTACGTGCATATTACTATTTACAAATTGTATATCAAAATTTGTTTCTTCTTGAAACATTTGTTTTAAAAGCAAAAGCAAATATGCAGTGTACTCTAATACTATTATGTGGAATTGTGATTTCATTCATTTCTAATTTTTGTCTTCCTTGAAGGTCGAAAATCCAAGCATCAAATCAAATATTCTCTTCGTATGGTATAATATTTATGAGCAGTTGGTTTTAATAATGTTCCAGGTGGTATAATACTTACACATCCTTTTTCTATTAAACCAGTTAACATAACAATAACACGACTATTTTGCTCCCAAACCATCTGCCAAAAATGACTTGATGTTGCTTGAAGTGGTCCCTAGTTTTTCAAAGATAAATATATGAAAAGTACAATCAATTAAAAATTTACTTGTGTAAGAATATATTTTCTATTAGCAACAGGCACTTCAACATAACTTGCATTGATATAATCATTTGAACCTGTTGTTAAACAAACACGTGTATCATCATCTATTTAAATAAGAGATAATTCTTATTTTTTAAAATAACTTTTTTAAATAAAATCTTTACAAGGTAAAACATCACGAAATCGATTTAACCCACGATTAATATTTAATAATGCAATATCATTTTTCTTGTCAGATGTTTTAATTACATGATCATTTTCAAGTTTCTATAAGAATAATTTAAGATTTATCAAATAAAAATATAAATAAAACTCACATGAAATAATGTATTCCAAGCATGATCTTTTTCAATCTTCAAAAATTCTTCTTCAATATGTGACATTTTTTTTTAAATCTAGAATTTTAAATTCTTTGGTTTTTTTTTTCGAATTCACTAAAAGAATGGACGGATTCAAAGAAGATACTACCGCACACACACACACACGCATAAGAACAAAATGTGAATAAGAAAAAACGAGATTCAATTTAAAATTTAACTTTAAGTGAAATAGCTGGTGGTGCATAAGTATTCATTGGCCAATCTTTTCCATTAATTTTTAAATTCTTTGGTGAATCAACACGTAATGATGGAATAGAAAATTTCTAAAAATAGATTTATTTAGATTTTTTTTTCAAATAAATTTTTTTTATCAAACCTCTTTTCGCCATTCAATATTCATTAAACGATAAACTGGTTTTGGAATTTCAATAATATCACCAAGTGAAACTGATGTTGATATATCAATATAATAAACAGTAACAAGAACACAACATTCTTCCGTATCAGCTAATATAAACATTCTATATTAATAAAATAAATAATTTTTTTTTATTTAAGTAAAAAAACAAATAATAAGATTTCATACAATTTAACATCTTGTACACCAAGACTAGCAACAACTGTTCCACGATAAGTTACATTTTCATTTTCTCCTGGACGAAGAAATTCAAGTGGAACAATATTATTATTCAATGTTGGAGTTTCATTTAATACCGAAACTAATGTTTTAAATTTTTTTGGTTTAATTCGACCCTTAAGAAATAAAGAAAAAAATTTTTTTTTTTCTTAACAAAAAAAAAACTAATTGAACAAACTTTGCATGCAATAAGATCTGTTATCGTGCGTAAATAACTAAGTAATTGATCTTGATTATTGCGTGCATCTTCGTTTTCAGGATCAAGTTCAAGTGAGCGTTCATAAGAAGCAAGAGCTTCGGCATAATCTTCATGATATTGTAATGCCTTTATTAATAGAAAATTAAACAGCACATAAATCATGTAAAAAAGATGTCGCATTAGCTATCTGATATTTTGCTATCTGATAAAAATAAATTAAAAATGTTTTACAGAGATATGACGACATGGATGATGCCGTTTTGGTCTCTATCAAGTCTAAGTGAACCTCTGAGAAAGAAGACTATAAAAACACAACTAAATGGATAGTAGTATAGCAATGAGGCATTTGAATTTGTTGACATTGATATTAATTTTTCAGCAAAAGTATACTTCCCGTAAGTTTCTTTTTATATTTGTTTAAACGTAAATTCAGTTTTGTTCAATAATACTAATCACAGAGTATATGAAGAGAAGTATAACGTAAAGAGGACATATAGGTGACATGTAAGGAAAGAAAAAAACCTGTACAGGATGTACATGAACAGATGGGAAAAACACCACTATGATATGTCCTATAAATTATAGAGAAATAACCAATATATACATTGGAAAATGCCAATATTTTCGAAGTTTAATCTGAAATTTTTTTCTAATCAATATCTTTACTAGGCTAGCTTGTATAGAAAATTTCAGAATTTTTCAACACAATTTTACCAAGATTTGAATTTTTGAAAACATAATGACTCGTCCAAAAATACTATTTATCACATTGATATTTTTTTAAATTAAATAATTCTTTAGTGAATTTGCACTAAAACATCTGTCTCAGTCAAGTTACAACATGGACTCATAAAGCTTTACATCACTAAAAGTTTTGATCTAGTTTTTCATCGGGATTGGGATAAAAAAAGAGCCAGTCTTGTACACGATCATGAGAATAAGAGCATCTTTTCTTGAAATACAATCTAAAAGTAGTGTAGAAGTATACAAATAGAAATGTGAGTTACATTTACTACACAGATCGTGTCACACACCGTATTATATAAACTCTTTCATAAGTACCGTTGATTTCTTCGAGTTTGATAAAAACTATTTGAATGAGTATAATGATACTTCTTAATAAATAAACTAGTTTTTAATTGCATTTATGAAGGATTAAGTAAAATAAAAAGAATGCTGTGAAAATTTTTCCGAAAATAGAGAGAGTTAGACTATCATTTTATGATTATCATTAGCAGTCAAATAATTTCACATTTTAATTCCGTATGAATAGTATGAAAAAACTCTCAGTGATGAACTTAGATCACACTTTTCTGAATGATCTCATATTAAAATTAGAACATGTTTCTCTTATGTTGTAATCTCTGATTATACAGAAAGATATGTATCCAAATAGAAATGCAATATTTCGAAACTAATTTCTATAGTAGATGGAAGTATCCCTCCAATTTATGTTTAAACAATGATTATCCAAAGAGTTATAGCATTTCTTTTAGAAATAGAACATCACCGTGATTCTCGATAAAAGACAGATGAATTCTGGTTTATTTTTCTAACGTATCTTCTAAAAAGGATATCCCGCTTTCCTAAAAGAGAAAACATATTTAGTACCACGCCTCGACTGTAATGTAGATCGCCATCATTTTCTGATATTGGATCCTTGAGCTATTTAATTAAAAATTAAAATTAAAGATATTTAATATAAGTGAAAAACTGACTGCAAGATTATAAGCACTAAATGCTTGTTTTAAATTTTTTGGATGATTTTCAACCATGAAATAAAAACATACATAAGAATTTGCAAGTGTATCTTTAAAGAAAAAAAATTCAATAGATAAAATTGATTTAGGAATAAACTTACACCATGATGCTCCATCTTTAACATCAATTTCAACTGCTTGTTTAGCATATTGAATACTTTCTTCAATCATTCGATTTCTTTCTGTACGATCAGTTACTTTTGATGCTAATTGTCGTGTAACAATTGATAAGTTTCGTAAAACAAATCGATTTTTTTCCTAGAAGAAAAACCAAAAGATTTCTCTTTTTTAAAAAACTATGAAATTTCTTTTTATTTACTTTGCTATTTGCATTTTTAAAACAATTAGCAGCCATTTCAAATTCTCCATTTTTAGCATAACTTTCTCCAAGTTCATTTAATGTTAATACATTTGATGGTTGAAGAAGTGCTGCTTTACTTAAATAATCTGTTGCACGTTTATCATACTCAGGAAATAAATTAAATGCACGACCTTTCCAATATGAAAATAAAGCACGTTGACATGGATCACGAATTTGTTCTATTTAAAAACAAAATAAACAAAAATTTCTTTTGAAACTCATTTAAATAAAATCTACAAATTTACCTTCAATTTCATTATAATTCGAAAGAATTTGATCAAGTCGTGTCCGAATTAATTTATAACGATTTTTTGCTGATTCAACAGGTTTTGAAGTAGGTTTAAATAGTTCATCACGATATTGATAAAGATTTTCAATGTCAGTCTAAATAATATATTTTTATTAGAAGTAGATCNCTACCACTACTACCACTACTACCACTACTACCACTACTACCACTACTACCACTACTACCACTACTACCACTACTACCACTACTACCACTACTACCACTACTACCACTACTACCACTACTACCACTACTACCACTACTACCACTACTACCACTACTACCACTACTACCACTACTACCACTACTACCACTACTACCACTACTACCACTACTACCACAACGACAACAACAACGCACACATCATCAGGTTCTGATACTTTTTTGAACTCACACTATCTTTACTGGTTTTTGGTGGTTATCTTATTTTTCTTCATGTTGGCCAATTATAACAACCGAAAATGAAGAGAAACCGCTTCTGAGTTTTTTTGTGTTGAAAATGTTGTGGCTATTTTTATTAGTATACATAATATTACAGTGTGTCCCAAAAGTTTTTTCGTGTATCTTTATTATTTGATTCCGTTTAACACCACAAAATGCTTTTTTAATTAATAGATAAATTTACCGAGTTTTTATTTATATGAATAAAATTCAATATTACTTTTCAAAACTATTATGTTTAATTGAAATACAAAAAATTGAGCTTCTTTTGTTCTTTTAGAAAAACATTATGTAGCGTTTTTTCATGAACTAGTTCGATTTCCTAAATTATTCTTATCTTTTAATCATCTAGAACTTTAGAAATGTCATTCGCAGACAGCTGTTGTGATACATTTCCGTAAAAACAACTTCGATGCCGTTATGTTCAATGATGAGACCAGTCGATGGTTCTCAAAGTACTAACTACAAGTAACGCTCGTCAGCATGACTCGCTTGACCCTCGACTGAAGGATTAGCTGCAATCTAGTTTTGTTGAGTGCAGCTGTGGGTATGAAATTCTTCTTTACACTAATACTGACACCCACACTCGCATTTAGACCCCACATCCACACACATAATCCTAAAGACACTCACAACCACTTAACTAAAATTAAAAGAGCTACATTATGCCACCGATATCTGTATGTGCCCGAAAAAAAAGTCTGGGTGTGGGTGTGGATCTTATGTTCACCCACACGTCACACCCACACCTCACACCAACCTATATCCACCCTCAAATGATGCTGTACTCATGCTATAAAGCACAGTTTGATTTCATCTATATTAGTGATTTCTCAGGGGTGTTGGTCTTAGAGCATTGAATGATATTAATTTTCACCTCTCTCGTAGCTACAGTTCCGAATATTTCAGCACAGACTGGAGGATAAGTAGGCAACCTGAAAGATAATTTCCAAGTCAGAATGTTGAGTTTCGCTCGAGATTCAAAGTGAATACTATGCAGCTTGTGATATGTTACTTTCATTGGACAGAGGAGAATAATTCAAAACCTAACCAAGGTAGATTCATTTACAATGAAAACTTTACTATGGAAAGCAGAAGAGACCAGCTTTCGAACAGTGGATCAAATCACATTAGGTTTTCTTTTTAGCTAGAGACAATGTAACAGGACAAAATTGTTGACTTTGGTCTTATATCTCATCAATGGTGAATAATCCCATTCTTACACCCTGTGTTACAGTGTGTTCTTCTATAACACCTACCTCGATCCTATCTATTCTGTTTTCTTTATTATTTTCGTTTTTGTCTTTTATTTCTTTTCTTTGCCCTTGATAAACCTCTTTATTCTTCTATATTTTGTCTTTAGTTTTCGTATGCGTATCTAAACACTTGTTTTGTAAAAGAATAAACAGAGAGAATAAAACACACACGTTAACTGTGTTCGTCGCTCTTTGTGAGCTCGAACGCTAACACCCTGCGACTCAGTTGGCCGATATATTTAGGTGATCATTGTTCGAAGTGGGTGTGGGCAAGGGGGAAAAAGCGGATCCTCGGATCCTCTTGGATCCTCTGGATCCTTTTGGATCCTCTTGGATCCTTTTGGATCCTCTTGGGTCCTTTTGGATCCTCTTGGGTCCTTTTGGATCCCGGATCTCAAAGGATCCAAGAGGATCCAAAAGGATCCAAGAGAATCCAAAAGGATCCAGAGGATTCAAGGATCCGAGGATCCGCTTTTTCCCCCTTGGGTGTGGGTGTGGGTGTGGGTGTGGGTTATGATTTAAGAGCATAAAAGACGCAGACCGATAGCCACAACGAGATTCGCACTTACACCACACTCATATCCACACCCTCATGCCCACACCCACACCCACACCTACACCCACACCCTAGTTTCTTATTAGCCCACATTGAACGAGAATTTGAAATCAAGGTCTGCTCTAACGCTCAACAAAGTATTGACGTATTTCCCGTTCTCTTTAAAATCGAAATTGATCCGATCAACTCCAAATTTATACCATTTGCCAGTTTGGATCAATTAAGCTATGATTCGAATACAAACAACGATGTTTTATTTTCTATGAACAGTATTTTTCGCATCGCCAATATGACAAAAACTGAGAAGAACATTTGGCAGGTACAATTGACTGGGCAAATGAAAATGATTACTCGCCTAAGTTGTCTATTGGATTTATGATTTTACTAGCATCAGAAGAAAAAGGTTGGAATAAATTAAGCCAAGTGATGATTTTTGTCAACAAGTTAAAACGCGCCGAAGACTTGTACAAAATCTTAATGGAATCGATCGATATTAATGACAAGAAAGCAATGGTACTTGTATATCATAATCTGGGCATCATCAAATTTAAGAATGATAGTTATGATGAGGCTTCTCTTCTTTTTGAAAAAGAACTTCAAATACAAAAGAAAATTTTACCATTGCTTCATGCCGATCTTGCTTCATTATACAATATAATTGGAGTTTCAAATAGCAAAATGGGAAAATTACAAAATGCACTTTCGTATTATGAAAAAGCACTAGAAATTCAAGAAGAAATTCTGCCTTCGAATCATGCAGATCTAACCATCACTTACGGCAACATTGGACTTTTGCATCAAAAACTAGGAAATCACGTAACTGCACTTTCATACCATCAACAGGCTCTTGAAATCAACGAAGAGGTTTTATCTTCAAACCATCCTGAGGGTGTGGGTGTGGGCGTGGGTTTGTGTGGTTTGTTTGTCGGTGAAGACAAAGAAGAAAATGCACATCCACACCCCACATCCCACACCCTCAAACCAAGTGTGCTCGAATGAGATTGAAAAAAGAACATCGGGTGTACGTGTAAGAGCAACAAGATCAGGGAGTTCAGATGAACTATTACTCAAAGCACGTCTTGGATCAATAAAATCTAGACTCAAATAAGCATATGACCAACCGAAAAAGTCATTTTCCTGAATATACGTGAACAAAATTTGGTACAAGTTCATCGCCGAGTTCGTCACGTTCTTGACATGTTGCGTATAGATCGTTTGTTATAGGATGGAATACCAGACCAACAGCATTTCTTAGACTAGATGCAAACGTTCTTTGATTACTTCCATCAAGACTAGCTATTTGAATACAAGCTAACCGCAATGAATCAATATCAACATTTGAAGCGGAGCCGATAGCAACGTACATGTGATCGTTTGTTGCTGGTATAACAATGGTTCGTGAAATATGATGGATTCCAGTATGATTCATAACTACTTCGTCTGTGCCAGACAGCTGTTGATGACAGTTTTCCCATTTGTAACGTCTTATGTTATATTGATTACCAGAATACAAATATTCATTTGCAAATGCTATGCCAGATGGAATAAGAAGTCCATTTGTTTCATTGGCTATTATTATACGTTGATCATGAAAGCCATCATAATTCGTATCCAATAAACTTGAAATTCGATCTATTGCTGATTCAATAACAAGAATATCACCAATCGGTGTATATTCAAGGTAACGTGGATCTTGAAGACTACTCATAGATAATTTTATAGAAAAGCCTTTTGGAATAAAAAGCTGTCGATCATCTGGTACAGGTATCGGCTTCGGATGAACAACGACATATGATGTAGCATACGGTGGTGGCAGATCAGCTAGAGTGAAACGAATCGGTTGTGGATCAAATGTAATAATGACACAATCAGCGGGTTCCGAATAAAACAATGTTACTATGAAAATGAAATTCAAAATCGATATAAGCATTTTTTGTCTCTTTGTTCACGTTGTCTGCTTATGTCGGTAGCGAAAGAAGAAAGTAAAAGCAAAATATATGTGCGGATGAACACAACAAAACTACAGCCACATAATCAAGGTCAAATAATTGTGCTATAAAAATACTTTGGTAAGATTATGCGCCGACATTTCGATGTGCTTACCATTTTCTCTTGTATTTGTATTACGGATTATATTGATATTGTTATTAACGGACGGACTCTGAATGAGAGTTCAATCTTGAGTGTCTTTGAGCCATCTTTTCAATTTTTTTCAGGGGTACTCAAAAATAAAATATTAAACTTAAAAGCTAACTTAAAATTAAAACCAATAATTTGTTAGAAGTAAACAATAATATTCGATTTTTGAGTCAAATCGACTAAATAACAGATAAAAGATATTTCACAGTATGATTAATGACCTTGGATGAAATGCATATTATTTTTTAGCAAATATGATTAGATTTTATATAGGAGAAAAATATATTGTTGTTCTCTTTCTCGTTCGAATTAAATCAGGTTATTGCGACATCTTTAAAATAGCTGGAAAAACAAAGAATTAATCCATATTACATCTTTTTTTATTGGATCTTATTGTAATATTAAATTAAAATATGGATTACGTAATTTCATTTTCATTTCATTTTCCGTTCAATTATCATATATTTAGAAGAAACCATATTAAAATCTAAACTATGGAAAAAGATAAAGTTGAAGTTCATCTTCAAAAATTACTTAATTATGAATTATCATTATCATCATCAGATGATAAAAAACACGTTATTTATGCTTATGATACTTTAATTAATATTCTTCAAACACCTGAAATACGTAAACAATTGTCTGGACAACATGAATTACTTTTCGAATGTATATCTCAAATAATTTTGACATCATTTAATCAATATTTTCATGATGATCAATTACATTTTTTACTAAAGTTAGCATTGAATACATGTGTTTTATCAATGTCACAAAACCAAATCATTAATAATTGGTTACAAAATATCGAAGAACGTACATTTGAAAAACAAGATAGTTATGATGACAATGATTTATATAAAGATGCAACTGAAAGTGAAGAATATGAAAACATAAAAAGTGCAAGTAATCAACTTCAACGAAAATACACTTATAATGATGATTCATCTCACCATGATTTGAGTTCAGTGTCACCAAGAGATAAAAGCCGACCATTAGCAAGTATGAGATAAAATTAAATTTTTATATTTCAAAATATTTTGAATTATATAGAACCAATATCGACTCAACATTATATTTCTACTGTAAATTTAGATAATAAACGAAATGGTACATTCTCAGATGTTTCCTCATTTTATTTGTTTGAAATACCAAATAAGTGAATCGTATCCAAATTGTTTTCATTGAATTAAATCAACAAGAATTGTAACATTCTTACGAGGGAATCCATCCGACTGGTAATCTCCATTTGAGCCCATTCGTAGGAGTTCCAAACAGTATCTTGAGTGTATAATTGATTTGTTTTTTCATAGAAAAATATGTTTGTTGCTCACTTAATTATTAGTTCTAAGTATCATTCGTATGATACCATCTAAAGCCAAAGTATTATGTTCGCAGCATTCTTGATCTTTGAATTTTGTGGGCGCGAATGCTTTCAGATTTTTATCTACATCAAGCTTTTACTCTCGAGCTATAGTATTTTTAATGAATTTTCAGTTTATTGTAGTATATTACAAGAAAAATGGCGTAACATGGAGGTTTGACTTGAAATTCTTCTGCATGCAATAGACTGAAAATTCGTTAAAAGTACCATAGCTCAAGAACAAAGGACCAATGGCACGAACACCTAAAAAATCTTTATCTACAATACGATTAGAGACGTGAGAAGTCATCATTTTTTGACTCCGACTCCGAAAATCTTTCTTCTTCTAAATTATTGAAATCTTGCATGTTCCGATATATTACTTAAATAAAGACCAGTGTACTCTGACGAAGTACACATAATATGAGTGTTGTGAGTGAATAAGTAGTTATGCTAGGTGTTAAGCAGAAAAGCTGAATGTAATTAAACTTTTGAATATTTTTTTGCATCTAAGATATGTGAAATGACTGCGACGATCTTCCTACAAGAAGAGACTCTGAATTTGATAAGTACGATAACAAAAACAAACTAAAGAATACAAATATGTAGTTATGGATAATGTCAACCAAAATATCTCGCATAAGAAAAAAAAGAATAAAAGAAAGATTTTCAGAGTTGCTATAATTTTTATTACTTCGGCTTCCGACTCCGTCGGAGCCAGAATTCAGGATTACATAAAGGTCTCTAACTGCCATTTATACTTATGAGCTCCAACGGGTAATGTCAATCGAATGGGCTCCTTTGTTACATTATGTTTTTTTTTTTTGACTAGTTTCAAGTGCAAAATCTCCGAATATTGTGAAACCATCGAAACAGAAATATAGTGCTCTGTATTCGATAAAACATGAAAAGAGACTAGCCATCGATTCATCTTATCGTATTTTTCGTTTATTTATTCGAGAAACTCCAAGTTTTCTGACGGATATTCATCTTGTGTCATTCAGCTAGAAAATGTATAGCTGGATGACAACTTTATATTATGGCATATAAATTCCTGTGCTAATATTTCTAACAATCAAAACCCTTGCTATCCAGTACGAGACGACATGTAATGAAATATAAAAAACAATAACAATGTTTCGTTGTTTAATATAAACAACTTCGATACGACAAATATGAACTATTTGTGACAAAACAAGATATACCTACACTTTTCATTGTTTCTATCATCTAATTAAAAGATAATTAGTAAATGTCTCGTTTATTATATAAGGAAAAAATCCGAAAATTTCAGAATCGATTCTACGTCATGATTCGTGTCTCCAAAAAAAAAAAAAAACTTCTACTTAAATTCTAAAATTTGAGAAATTCTCTAGAAGGATCTGCGCTATTTTGAACTTATGATTCGGTTATTAGAATTTCTATTTTGTTGCATTGTTAACTAACTTTATATAATTAACTAGATCATCGAAGTTCTGAACAAAGTACTGTGCATGAAGCTTCAGGCAATCGTAGTACAAGTAATCTTAACCAACAATCCGATAACAGCGCAAATAAAGCACGTGGTATAACTTCATTCAATAATAAACATCATATCCATCATCAACTTGGTAAATCATAAAACTATTTTTTATATTTTTTAACGTCAACAATCTCTCTATTCTAGATGATTGTTACATTTGTGGTGAATACGGTCATATTTCATATTATTGTCCTATGAAAAAAAATACGTCAACAGTTGTATCTCGTGATCGTGTTCAAGCTGATTTATCAAATGAAAAGAAACAAACTCGATCAGAATCTTCTTCATCATTATCTTCTATCGAAATAATTCTTTCAAAAAGAGATCAAGGTCGAGTTCAAAGAATTTGTAATCAATCAAAACAATTAATCAATTGTTATCTTATAGTTGAAGAACGAAATAGAAAATTTAAGTTACTTCTTACACGTATAAGAAAACTTGATAAACTACATGAAAAAAATCTTCCAATAATTTTCTCTGAAAAAGAATCAATATTCTATTCATTTATTTGTCATGTTGCACAAAATGATTTTCTATTTAGTAATGATCAATATTTAGCATTATATGATTTTAAAAATATTTTATTACCACAAAAATATCATATATTAAATCAAGATCGTTCAATATTTTGTCGACAACGTATATTAATACCTTTAAATATAATCATAGAACACATTAAAACTACATTAAAAATTCAACAAACGATATTTAATGATTTCCAAGAATATATTATTCGTTTACCATCACCAATATCAACAGTATTATTTGATTCAATTAAATATTTACTAGAATCAAATATATATGTAGATATAAAATATTTAGAATATTTTTCAAAAACAATTTTATTTGATATGAAAAAAAAAATTTTTTCAAATGAACAACTTGATGAACTTAAAATATATTTTAATATTCGTATGAAATGTTTTGAACGTAATAATCAAAATCAAATATGGAAAAAACGTTTAATTTTATTTAAAAAGGATAATAAAATACAAAATGATCTTAATCAATGGATTTCAGAATTAGATCAAGTTTTGAATACAGATCTCTATGAACAAACAGAATCGGAAAAAAATCTTTTCCAATATTCTACATGGTATTTTACTATTTTAATAATGACTAGTAGTGTTCATTTAAATAAACATCAATATGAATGCATATTAAAATCTGGTATTCAATCGACATTATTTAATTCAATACAAAAGTTTTATTTTCAATATTATTTAAATCAAGAACATGCACCAATAACTATTGATGAATTAAATCAAATCAAAAGTAAATTAAATAGTCAAAATATTGACAAGAAAAAATTAGCCTATGAACAAATAAGAATTATACTTGATAGACCAAAACCAAAATTTAACAAAGAACAAGTAAATTAATTATTTATTTTAATTTATTTTATTATGTTTTTCCTTTTTATTTAGTTAGAACAATCTTCTTCTGAAAGTGATAGTTCAACTCAAACAAATGATCAGGTACATTTGATAGAATGTCATTGACTGATATTCCTAATGCAACTTAATGATTGAAACATTTTGCAGCATATGATTTGTTTATTTTGAGATTATAAAAAGCATTAGATAAAGTTGATAGAAATTTCTTGATACAGTGTTTTGTAGAGCTTTTCACTGCACATCTTTTTTTTTTTTAAAATGCAAAATTTGATCATTTTCTTAAGCTAAGATATAAGTGAAACACAAAATTTTGCTGCACCCCGTTATATAATCCAATCGACTTCATTAGTGTCAAACAACCTAAGATTATTTGATTATGAACATCAGAGATAGGATTCCATCTCTGACGAATATTTGGTGAAATCGACGTTTGAAATATTCGATAATTGAAGTTCAAAGTGAGGTCTAGAATACATGATAGATTTGACAGTTCTGTTTAGAGCCCGGAGGAATTCAATTTTTTTACTTCGACAATTCTCATTCTTTCAGCTCTGAGAAAGGCCATTCTTGAATAAGCCAAAGAATTGATCAACCCTTCCGATTCAACTCAAATGAATATTAGGAGAAATTTGACAGGCTGTTACACACTTCTATTTATTTCTTGTCGATTTTGACTCACGCAGAGTAAACACTCCTAGATTAATCAACATGAGTGTGACCATACCTATGTTATTCCGGTTATAGCCTTCAGATTTTTATGTATATCGGTTGGTTGTTAGTTTGCACAGTAGAACTTGTTACATCTTGCTTTGTTTTATAACATGTATAATGATAGTGGATACTCAATATATTTCTTTAGGACAAATATAGGAGTTCAAAACTCTGTTGGAACCACTTATATGAATTCTTCACACATAGTCTTCTTTGTAGGTATCGATCTGTCGGATCTTATGAGAGTTTATAGAAGACAAAATGAAAAAGTTCGTAATAAGGTTCCCAATTAATTAATTGCTTTTGAACTGGAAACAAATGCATCATGAAGATCCTCTCAGGTTATCGGTGAAACACGAGAAATACTGATTTTCAAATTTCGATTTAAAACGTTGCATAAAAACAAATCTTCATGAGATTACTAAATCATGAAAATATCAGGTTATACACAATATCTTACGATAAGAATAATTAAAACATCTAGAATTGTTGTTAAGATCTATCTGTGTACATAATTTCAAGTTGAAATTCAAAAATGAGTTTTCTTGAGAGGAACCACTGGATTGTGTATTGAGATCTTTTAGGGATATTCGTAACTTATTAGAATCTAAAAGTAATTCTTGCACTTCAATAGAGTTGAAAAAATTTTCTTGTATTTCTAGTTCAAACAATCCGACGATTTAATTCCAATAATTGATGGTCATGTTCTAATTTATTTGATTTCTCTTATTGATATGATTTCTGCGGATACAAAAACATTTTCAATTGAACAGTGCAAAGAATTACTCGATAAATTTGTTTATCAATCAACAATTGTTCGTCCAATACCATATGCTGAACAACAACGTTTATTATCGTTTTATTCTCGTTCAATATCATTAGATGAATTAAAAACGTATTCTCTTTCAACAGAATCAGATTTAAATAATTATCTACGATTACTTGAAAGTAGACCATTAATGAAAAATGATGCAATATATAACTTTTTGATTAAAACAACTATATATATATTTAAAAGTCGACAAAAATTTTCTAATGAAATATGTCAAGACTTGAAAAATCTTCTCGAAAAGAAAATTTCAGAAAAAACTCATACTCGTTTGATAAAAAAAGTCTATAACGATTTTCGTTTAAATAAGAACAATCTTATTATAATTAATCGAAATATTCTCAATCAATTATTAAATAATATTCTTCTACGAGATTATCAAGTAAATAAAAATTTTATTTATAAAAAATTTTATTTTATTTTATTTTATTGTATTTTCAAAGGCTCATTTAGAATTTTTTAATTTATTAGAAAATATTTCACAATCAATCAATTTCAAAGAGATAACAAAGGACTTTGAAATAAATCGTTGTCTTTTAACAGGAATAATTCTTATTATAATCGATGCTGATTATTCAAATTCATCAGATTTAGTTTTGTTTCAGCAATGCTTAACAACTATGATAGAAAAGGAAAGAAATTTTTTTTCATTACTTCTTACTGAACAACAATATAAACTTATTACAACACATTCAACACCAAGATCAACTATTGATCCATTAATTCATTTACTAAAAAAAGATTTAAATGAAAAAAATTTTTCTAATTTAATTTATTTTATTAAAAATGAATTAAAACAAAAAATTAATTTTCAAAAATTAGTTTGTTTTCTAAAATATACATTTGATAATGAATTTTTATCTATTGAACAAACACTTCAAATATCAAATTTAACTCTTCAAAATTCAAAATTAAAGAATAAAAAATCTAAACATCTTCTTCAATTTCTTATCGAATTGCTTCAATTGAAAATACATTTATCATCGCAAGTTCTCTTAAAATTAATTCAAAATAATCAAGAAAATAATCAAATTATCAATCAAATATCACTTATGTTAACAGTACAAACTGGAAGATATGCTACTGTCGAGTGGAAAGGAGCAATGATGAGATTATTAATAATTCTTTTCGATCGGTCAGATAATTATGAACAACTAAAAGATATTGCTCTAGAATCACCTATGCTTCAATATGGTATATATAAACAACAATTAGAATCTTATATGACAAAGATATCAGATAATCAATCTGATGAAAACAAAGAACGTAAGTTTAGAAATAATACTATATTAAAAATTCTTTAAGTATCTTTCAAATAATCTATTGTGCTAAAATTTGACTATACATGCAAAACGCACGTAACAAAAATGATAAAAGGGAAAGACTTTTAATTTTTAACAATTATGTAAATAAATAAATAAATAAATTCTATAATATTTGAAAATTATAGTCTCAACTATTTCGTTCTTTGGATTTTAAGAGTAAAATATTGGTCAGTAACGTACAGACATGAATTTTCAAAAACAATTTCCCAACTCTAGAATTTTTCTTTGCATTTGAAAATATCATTTTGGAATATAAAAGTAACAGTGTTCATTCATATTACAAGCTGCCAGTATTGTTTTACATATTAGTAATATTCTCATTTTTCAACTACAAAATGAAATGTAACATGTTACAAAATAGGAAACATACATCTCAATCGACTCGTAGGTTATTTTTAGTACTCATCATCAACATTGAAACAAATGTAATTAATTATATCATATCGATAGATATAGAGCATCCAGTGGTAGAGCCAAGAGGGGGTGGGACTAAGCCCATCTAACTCGAAATCCCTGGTTCCGCCATTGGGAACAACCACTTAGAACTGATTTTAGTTTAAAATTCACATTAGTGTCCAATAATTGAAATCTAAAAATGAATTTTTCTGACAATGACTTATTCATTTTCTTACAGAAAACAGTATTCCATGCAGGAAGATACTATATATTACAACTGTGGATTTTGACACCAAATAGAGAATCAACTACAAGAATTTCAAACAGAAACTTTCCATTAAGTAGATCTAGTGTCTTTGAAAATATTGTAAAAGTTTCAATCAAAAAGAACACATGGTATCGAGATGTTGGATTTTCAAGTAAATTCCTAAAAATGAGCCGTAAGGCGTTTTTATAGAAGAAATATAGCTCAAATAATGGGTATCATTTTAAGTTGTTACCTCATAAGTATTTTTTTAGCTTTGCTCTATATGCATCAATATAATATCATCGAAAATGTTTTTTTTTCTTTTGGTGTTGTCGTAGGAGAAGACTAAAACAAAGCCCATAGATCGCTCAATCTCTACTGTTCTTAATTGACGCAATGTTGTATTTTTGTAGTGAAATCAATAATCATTTAAAGTAGCATTTACCTTTTTTTTTTTTATCAGTATAACAAAAACAAAACCTGTTGATCACTACCTATTATTAAGAAAAACCTCAATCGATTTGATTGAACAGAAACATAGATATTCTAATTTATGATCCATCCTGTGTATTTAACACCTGTTTTTGAAATAAGACCAATAGATTGTAATAGTCAATGTTACACAAATGTTTTTAATTGTTTGCTGGGCATGACTCTAAATACATACCTAATTTTTGCTCTTCTTAGGAACTAAAAGCTGAAAAATGATATTTTTTTGTCAAAACTTGTGCATCATAGATTAATCCATTCTGAAAAACTAGTCAATAGATAAAAAAAAATTCACATGAAAGCGATCTTTTAAAGAGAACTCTGGAAATTCACAGCGCTTTTTTCTTCGTTTTAATTGACGAAAAATCCTTCTCTGTCATCATTGAATCATTTTGTAAATTTTATTTGAAGTATACAGATTATTTTTGTTTTATTATTTTAGCTTCTGTTGTTCCTAAAAATAATAGCAAGACCGATATTTCTACTGCACATCGTGAATTGTTGTATTATTTGGAATCTGATGATCCATCAATGAATGCACATGCCATACGACAATTACGTGCATATCTTGTTGGTAAACAACTTTCATCGAAAATTGTACTTCCGAAATTTATTCAAGCTATTCAATTTATGTTGCAAAATTCTCGAAAATTTCCAGAAGTATTACTTGATGAATGGGCAATATTGATTGCTAACAATCGTGGAAAAGTAAAACTTCAAACTTTCTAAATCCTCTTAAACATAATATTATTAATTTTCTATTTTATTAGATTTTTTCAAATGATCTTCAATGTGATCAATTATTAATGGGTATAATTTTAGTTCGTCTTAATATGCCAAAGGATACATTAAATTTATTAAATCGTTTAATTCAATCAAAGGAATTTCATGAACGACATGTTGGTCTTGGCAAATTACTTTTACTTTTAAAAAATACACAAATAAATCGTAAAAATAGCCAAATAAGGAACTTACCAACAATATCAAATCAATTTTATAATACAATAACTCGTGTTGTATTCGATGAAAAATTCAATAACCGTCAAGCACGACAATGTGTAACAGCAGCTAGAAATTCTTGGCTATTAACTAGGAACCATAGAGAAAAACTGAATGACATTTAGATATATTATTTGTTTTTGTTCTTTTGTTTGAACTACATATATATATACATCATAACTTATTATGATGGTATGATCAGATAGTATCTAACCTGTGATTTATTGTTTAGTGATTTTTTCGTTTTCTATGCAAAATAAAAAAAGCGTGAAAACAGCTCTCTTGTTATTATTCGTTTTTTTTAAACACTTGTACTTGAATGAGCTGTTACAAAACACATGAATTGAAGTTTCAAACGAGAATTGATGTCATAAGTAACTTACACATTGAGCTAATTTGATATCTTGTCATTTTTCATCGACAACTTTTTCTTCCTTTGATAAATTCAATCTAATAATTAAGCGTTTGGTCGACTAATTAAGGCTTAACTAGTCAATTACGTAATGAGTATTGACTTGTTTTGGGAAGTGCGAGAGTGTGGGTGTGGGTGTAAGTCTTGCATTTATCCACAGTCACACCCTCACCATATAACGATTCTCCTGAAATTTCAACTATATCAAAACGTTGTCCGTAAAATTCTACATCCTTTGATGTATGTTTCAGAATTTTAGAAGAAATTTTCACGAGAAAAACTTTTGAAGTAAAAAATGTGAAAATACTCAAAAAGTCTCTTTTGTGACAAACCCTTGGCGTTATAGCTTTTTATTTGAAAACAACCTCAAATTTTTCATTGTTCAATTTAATAATCACACTATTTTGTTCAATATTAAATTCTACATTCAATGGCATGAGAAAGAACGTTTCATTGACTAAGCTTCGCTTTGGAAACCATGATTTTCCAAAATGCATCCGAAAACACTGCTAGGTGTTAGTTCAATGCTCTTTTCTCCAAAACAGTAGCACGGATCTTCTTGAAAAGGGCGTAGTAGTATAGAGCACAACATTTTCTATCTATTGGTGTTACATACTTTATTTTTAGCATCGGAACTGATGAGTGAGGATAGACTTGCATAAATGGATAAATGTTTGCAGAAAGCAGAAGATTGCTGTCGGACGATTGAGCAGATGTTAAACTTTGAAGTTTTACGCTGAGCAGAAAATTTTATTGGAAAAACAAAGTAGACAGTTTTGTAGAGCTTGAAATTGTCTATCTTGTGGTATATAAATGAGTTTTTTTTTATGAACAGACAGGGAGACAGAAAGTACATTTACATTTAGTGCAATTCATTATGGCCCCTTCACACTATTTCTAAAGAAGAAAGTATTTTTTTATTTTGTAGTATCTTAAACGCGTTTCTAACAATTCCTCTTGTATATACATTCAAAAATTTTATGCAAAGAATGTTACTTATATCGTCAGATTTTCAATGGTATTTATCCCTTTTTTTTTACTGTTATAGGAATGTAGATAATTTGTATAATTATATATTTGCGCAGTTTTATGAATGCATGACAAAAAGCATATATCCTGATATGCTTAATAATTAAATTCATGTAAGAGTTTAGTTTACTTTGAGAATAGTTTATGTGTGTCAATACTTGAGCAGAGTTAGTTTATAATTACTTGATGATTAAATTCTTTGTGCTACTTTTTTATTTTCTTCATCACTATGAACAGAGAAGAATATTCCCAAAAAAAAGATGGCTTTTTCAGGAATATTCTTGACATCTACATTTTTATTATGTTGCCTTCAGGATTTCTTAATAATATTGAAGAAAAATGAGAAGACAGGAACATTCAAAAAAATATTAATTTTTAAAAAAAAGAAACAGCAAACTCTCAAGTCATATGATTTATTATCAATAGAAAATATTCATTTCTAAAAGAAAATATGATAGTTGTACAAGAACGTGTCATCAACTAAATGACTACATGCATGTTCTGTATGATGATAGAGTTTTTGCTTTTAATTTTCTCGTCAAAGCGTAAAGCTATGCTATAAGAGTGCTTTGTTAATCCCTCTGATGAATAGAACACATCCTTTAATTTTTAATTAATAGTCTTATTATAAATATAAAGAGCATAAAGTTATTAAATATTGTGTAGTTCTGAAAACACGAATCGTATCTTTTGATATGTCGTCTTCGCCGTCAGTTGTTTCATCACTAGCCAATGCATCTCAGCAAGTGACGCTTTATTTAGGGCAACCTATACTCATTTTTGGTATTATTGGTGGAATATTTAATCTTATTGTATTTCTTAATCTTAAAACTTTTCGACAAAGTTCATGTGCATTCTATTTAATTGTTATGTCATGTGTTAATATAGGTCAATCACTTACTGGTTATCTTTCACGTATTATGATTACTGGATATAATATTGATTGGACATAAACTTCATTATTTTATTGTAAATTAATATGGTATTTTTTTCAAACATTCACATTAATATCATATGCATGCATGTGTTTGGCAACAATCGATCAATATCTAGCAACATCATTTTATCGTCGATGGCAACAATGGAATAATATTAAATTAGCTTATTGTCTTTGCACAGCGTCATTTATCTTTGCAATTCTTCACGGAGTTCCATCAATTATTTATTATAATTATACTGATTCATCTATTGCAGACACACTTGTTTGTAGTATTATTAATAGTGTAAACCATAAGATATAGAACTTATGATTTTAATTCTTTTCTAGGAGGTGCATTACCAATTTTTATTACTGTCTTATTCGAATCATTAGCATATAGAAATGTTAAACAATTAGCTTATCGAACAGTTCCACTTGTTCACCGTGAATTAGACAAACAATTAACAAGTATGGTTCTTGTACAAATTGTTTACATTTTTATTGCTATTGTGTCATATACTGTTGTGATAATAATCACAACTAACTTAGATTTAAAAGACAAACCAATACTTGCTGCTGAGTTACAGCTAACAGAATATTTGGGTGCAATTATTTATTATTCATATTTTGCAGTAAGTATAACTTATTTGACTATTAATGTTTGATATATCAATGTGTTTATAGGCTCCATTTTATATGTATGTTTGTGTATCAAAACGATTTCGTCAACAATTAATTTATGTATTCTTTCGTATTTATACTAATTGTTGTCGAAAGCCAGCAATAATTAATAATCAAATAGCACCAGCAACTGACATGAATTGAAATACAAACAAAAACTGAGAATATTGAACGAAAGTTTATAGCTGTTGTTTAGTCTTTATCTATTATATGAATTTATTCATAGAAAACTGTTTAAAAAATCCTTTACATAATGTCTTAAGTTTTCAATTAGGTAGAAGTTATAGATGCTTATCACGCCTGAAAACTTGTCGGTTCGGCATGATATTCAAAAAATGTTTCGAATTTTACTACTGTGATTGTTTTAAACTAGACCTGTTGCTACTTATCTAATGAGATTCATTTATCTTAGAATGTTAATTTGTAGACACAACAAAAAAAAGCTGACAAACCGTGATGAACATCTCTGGTAGAAATTAACATTTATAAACTAAAAGAAAACCTTTCGCGTTGAATATTTTGTTTTAATAAGAATTTTTTCGTTGCATTCTGCATTTTGGAAATTGTACTTCACCAATCGAATGATTCCATTTGTGTATAAAACTGTCGTCATCTTAAACAACGCTCTTATCTTATTAATAAAGGGTGTGGATGTGAGTGTGAATCTTCTTCGTCCACACCCAGACCCAGACCCACACTCACAGCTACACTCACACCCAAAATCTTTTAGGCCCGGTCCCGGTAACTTTTGTTTCCATTGGTGTCCTGGTCCGGATTCTTGTCCTTATGACATTAATTTTTTTTCGATAGCGGTCTGATAATCTTAAATGTGGTCGAAAGAAAAAATTGCTAAAAACAAAAAATAATGGGTGAAAGAGCAGTTGAAGAAGTAAGGATGAAATTTAGAATACAGAAAATTTTCATGTTCATATTCATACACTTTGATTTTCAACATTCTACCGTTCGACATTGGCATTATATTTCTTTTCGACATTTTTAATTTCAACCAAAGTCACGAGAATCACCGAGGGTATGGGTATGGGTGTGGATGTGGATGTGGATGTGGGTGTGGGATTGGGTGTGGTGTGGGTGTGGGAGTGGGTGTGGGTATGAGTAAAGACAGCAATGACACCCTCACTCACACCCACACCCTACCTGGAGCAATGTCATTCTTTTTTGCCGACGATCTAGCAGCAGTACTTGCGGGACAAATAGGAGTTCGTTTCACAGATCAGTGTGTTGAACTAGAACGTCGTCTACAAACGTTTTTGGATCAACTGGAATTATACTCAATACTAGCTGTACAACCAATCAACTACTCGAAAACTCAAGTGATGTTCTCGGCAAGAGCTATTGGCTATCCAAATCCGTTGCCGCCTGTTCATTGTGGAGATCACATGGTCGAGTGGATTTCATCATTTAAATATTTAGGTTATTGGCTTACAACGAAGTTGGGATGGGGTAATATGATTGGAAAGACTCGTATCGCCGTCCGTCAGCGAACAGCACTGGTGAACACGTTCAAATTCAGCGGTACATCCTCTACACATCTACGAAGAGCGCTCTTCTCCACATACGTATTGCCTCACTTCACATGGTTATTTGGGCTTTTCCCACTGTTCACTGGATCACAGCGTACAGATCTTAATCATCTTTATTTTACTCTGTTAAAGCAGATATATCGATGTCAATACTGGGAGGATCTAATGTTTTCATTGATCTACAACGAAAAACATTTAGACGATCACTGCTTCGCCTACTGGGAGAAATATCTAAAAGCACTATCGAAATCCAAAGATGGATATTTATTATTGGAAGAATCTGAACTCAATGCGCACAGATCGAATTGGCAGGAGGGTGCAACTGCAATACGTTGTCTACGGAGATCAAAAAGATTCGTTTCACACATGGATGTATTTGGACAAGCGTTAAAATGGATGGAATCTCATGGAACCTCGGACTCAAGAATTACATGCAATGAAGAGGAGTTATTATGCTTCGTTTGTTTTCCTGAAAGCTTTTAAGTATTCAGCTCAACATGAAAGGTCAGATTGACAAAAAAAGAAGGAGAAAGAGAGAGAGGAGCATGCTTTCTTCTTCTTTTTCTTTTTTCTTTTTTCTTCTGCTTTTCCTTCATCGTTGCTCTGTTCCTTTGCTTTTTCCTTTTCAGGCCTTTGCTCTATCGCCTCACTTCTCCCAGCACTAGTTCTTTCCCTTCTTCTTTGTTCTTTCTTTCATTTTTTTTCTTTCATTCATTTTTTTTTCGTTTTATAATATGTTACTTGGTTGAATTCTCATATTGTTCGTGTACGCTCGCTCATTGGAGTTCACCCCAATGAAAGTTTTATTTGCTTATCCGCGAGGTTCTACGCTCTCAGGCTCAATTGTCCCTTTAGGACCGACAGGGTCGTGGGGAAAATAAATAAGGCATAATTAAAAAAAAAAAAATTTACGGAAGTGATTTGCATATACGTAAGAAAATAAAGAATGTGTTTTTTTCGTGAACCGCGTTTATTCTAATTTTTCGCTTAGATAATGGAGACATGAAAGGTATGAAAACAAAAGATATTATCGGCAATGAATGTGAGTTTTTTGGTATTAATTGTTCGTTTTTAAACAATCAATTTTTTTATTAATAGGTATGAGTATTGTCGAGAGTGTGTTGGTAATAGTGTTAAAAATATAAAAGTTGATGATCGTGTTGTTGTCAGTGTGCCCATAGCCTGTGGACAATGTGAATGTAAGTCATTTTAATTCACTTCAATAAGAACATCATAGAACATTCTTGTATCGATCAATTGATTTTTTGTAATACTTCCTTTCTTTAGATTATTAGACTGGCCTGTTCTCATTATGTGATGTTACAAATGATTCCAAAATTAATGAAAAAACTTTATGGTCATCGAATTTGTGGAGTATTTGGATATTTTCATTTGACAGACGCTATTTGAAAAATCCTCGACTAGCTAATTGAAATTTCTGTTTTTAACTTCAGGAGGTTATGATGGATGTCAAGCCTAATAGGGTCGCGTTCCATAAAGGGTGTAGCATAAGTTCTGATTCCCTCCTGCAATAATTTTTTCTTACATGTTTCCAAAGTCGAAAAGACTGATATTTACAGTATATATACAATATGTCTAGATTTACTCTATGCTAGAATTTCAGCTTTCTACTTCTTATTGTTACCGAGATACAAGCACTTCCAAAATCAAAAAAAAATCGACATTTTTTCAGAAATACCTGAGTGCATTTTTAACACTTGATTATAATGTTACATAAAAAATAGTGCTCGAAAACAGGTTTATAAATCGATTTTTTTCTTTAAACAATCAATAAAAAAACATTCATCAATGATTATGTATTTGTTCTCCATCTTGATCTATCACTAGCTTCAGTAGATCAGGTATGGTTTCCTTCTTATCTCGTGAAATAATTGACAATCTGTCAAGATAAATTAATTGGTCTAATTTGAACCATTCAAAATTCTAAATCGACGAGTTCTTTTTATTTAAAAAAAGACTCTAATATGATTTGCAAAAATGGTAACTATCTACCAACTTACTCAATCAATATTAGTCGCCTTTTTGTCTCTCCATGTAATTCAATCATACATTTTTGTTGTTTCTGGAAGTTACGATCAGCAGAGAAAATAGTTCATATACTGTTTTCCCATTCATATCGACGATGACAAACAACAAAATGCAAGAGTTAAATGTAGTAGAGCAAAATTTACTCGGAACGAATGCGTGATGGAACGAATACAATATGCTTATCCATAATTGTTCCAATCATAATTCAAAAATTCTTTTTATTTTAAAAATGCTTGTATCTCAATAGCAAAAAGAAGTAGAAAGCTGAAATTCTAGCAGAGAGTAGATCTAGGCATCTAGTATATATACTGTAAATATCAGTCTCTTCGACCTTAGGAACATGTAAGAAAAAAAATATTGCAGGAGGGAATCAGAACTTATGCTACACCCTTTATGCGGATGTCAATTCGCTCAAGATTAAAAATGATCGATTAACTGATGAACAAATCTTATTTATTAGTAATATCGTTTGTACTGGTTAATTATGTTCTTTTATTTTTATTGTTTCAGAATACAGATAATATCATTTGTAAATATTTTAGCCTGGCACGCAAATATCATGGGTGATGTCGGTCCAGGAACCACAGTAGCTATTTGGTAAGCTATACTATACTATTGATAATCAATTTATACTTAATTCATATTCTAAATTAGAAAATTTTAGTATATCGTTCAATTGATCATTTTTTTTTGCTGAAGCCATATAAGTTTGAAAATATAAAAAATTCGTCTTAATCTCGAGAATGAACTATTATTTGAATGAATAATTAATATAGTGTATGCTCTTGTTAAATAGTAGTGCGGGTCCTGTTGGTTTGTTAACCATAATGTGAGCTAAATATAGAGGTGCAAAACGAATCTTCTCCATTGATTGTATCGAAGAACGTTTTAGCCAAGACTAGATCACAAGGGGCTGAAACAATTGACTTTTCCAAAGGCAATGTCACTGATACTATGCAAAAGATGTTGCCTGGTAAGATTCTTAATTTTTATTATATAAGTACAATAAAAATCTTTTTTAACAGGTGGTCCTGATGTATGTATTGATGCAGTCGGTTTTCGTTATACGAAAGGTAAGACTTTTTCAATATAGATTCCAAATAGAACAAGAAATAAAATAATTTTCAAAAAGTTTAATTTTATGACATTATATTTTACATGAAATCTAGTGTATTCTTTGTTTATCACAGGTTTGATCCATAAGATTCAACGTGCTGTCTTTCTTGAAACAAACACACCTGAAATATTAGCCAAAGCAATTACTGTTGTTTGAAAAGGTAGAACTATTGCTGCCATTGGAGATTAGTAAGTCATCATCATAATGCATGAGCTTTATCCAACTTCGATCAAACAATATCTCATGTTTTTCTTTCCAGCTTTTTTACATCTAATATTTTTTCGATTGGTAAGAATAGTTTTCGTGAAATAAAAAAAAATTCATTTTGTTTTTTAAACTTTAGGTACTTTCATGGGAAAAGGTGTGTTAGTTTTTAATTCTCGATTTTAAAAGTAAAAAAATTCTATATATATATATATATATATAATATATGGTCT